GGTCTTGGGTCAGAGTGGGTATTTATTTTTTTAATTATTTATTTCAACTATCTTTAAAGGGGGTAACCCTTGTAGTTTAGCCCAGTAGGTTAACTGATATTCAGGGGCCCTCTTTAATAAAATTAAAATACAGTACAAACAACATCATTACATAATAATAATAATAATAATAATAATAATAATAATAATAATAATAATAATAATAATAACAATAATAATAATAATAATAATAATAATAATAATAATAATAATAATAATAAAAATAATAACATACAATCCTCATCTCCCGTTTAGTAATTTTATCATACCCACCCCACCCCACGCCCCATATAGAAAACAATACGACATAGGGCTTATCTTATTTATAATATCGGCCACACACGTGTGTTTGAAACTAAATATAAGCATTTTCATCATGGTTTTATTTATTACAAACATTCTTTCACCATATATACACATTGAGGCCCTTCTTTTAGGTTAAAATGATCTATCTTAAATTTGTCTTTCTTGAGTTTGGGACTATTATGTGTTTAAATAACTTAAAAGGATAAAACTAAAAAGCCATAAAAAGTGCGCGCCAAGCGCGCAAAATATTTTTGTGTTTTTAATTCTAATTTCGTCGGAATTGATGAAAACTCCCTAAAATGTGCAATTTATAGAGGAAATTGACCTACCGTAACAAGAAATGCGCGAAAAGAATTTGAGAATTTTAGGCACTTTCCAAGGATGCATCCAGGGCGGATTTGGGGGGGGGGGGCGGCCCGGGGTAAAAAAAGAAAAAAGAAAGAAAAAAAGAAGGAAAACGAAAAAAATGATATCCCAGAACGCCTCAAATGTTATTTTCGGGCGTCTAGAACACAAAAATTTCGCGGGGGCATTTTCAAAAAGGTTTGAAATTAATACATTATTCTAAGTAATATGATTTGTGTTTTCACATTCCTGTACTTGTTGCACCTTCTAAATGAGTGAATAATTGAGAATGTTTACATTGGTGAATTTAAAAAAATCAAAATATACCTAGATACTGAAGTTCAACAATAAAATAAGAAGATTCTGTATAGATAGGCTTTACAAACATCAGTGAGAAAGTGGGCGTTTCCTTTGCAAGGTTATTGCATAATAACCGCAACTCTCAAAACCCAGTCGAGCGTAAAGCAGTACACCAACGGCAGTCATATTATCGAAGGACTTGTCCAGTTGTTTAAGCTACCTTTGTGTTTTTTTTAAATAAAAATGTTTTCTTCCCCATTGTTGTATCATGCTGAGGGTTCTTTCTATTCTCAACGGGTAGGTTTGTGTGTAATTAATTCTCTAAAGTTGTTGGTCCTATGGTGGGTCAAGCTAGTTTAGCATAGGCTAGGTTAGTAGTACGTCGTAGTTAGGTAAAAACTACTGAAGCCAGGGCCTAGTCTAGGCGTGCATGCTCCATCCTCCAACCACACACTGTCCCACCGGTGTTAGCGCCACCAGTCGAGTCGTGTCCCAATTAGGGGGACTAGGCCTAGATAAGCTAACCTCTTCTGATAGAATCTGGGAGGTGCTATATAATAAATAGGAGGGTATTTGTTTTGGAGAACCTTTCCACTCACTGGAAGAAGGGATCAGGTGCGATCTATGGACCGCGGGTAGTAGCCGAGGCCGAATATCTTCTAAATGTTTTAACCCTAACCATATAACTCAGCAAAAGATATTCGACCTGCGCACCCGCGGTACGGCCATGCATCGCAGCTGATCCCACTGGAACAGAGGTCAGTACCTTGTCCCAGGCTTCTAATCTTAGGCTTCTGTGCCCTGATGGCCCATGCAGATGCAAGTACATTATTAGTTGACACCACCACTGTCCTAAAATCTTTATGATGATATATTAATATTATTAATTAGCTATTTACTGTACCATACTTAGGTATGTGACAAAAAATTTAAAATTCAAGCAATTCCTTTGCAGCTGGTATCATTTAAAAGGGTATTATAATATAGAATTAAATTGTCATCTCTCAATTATTAGCAAAGTTACAGAATTTAAGAGAATATTAATTATACCTTATTTTGGTCCTTCAAATCCTATGTAAACAATGGAGAAGTATGTGACCTTGTTCTTGAAAAACGTACAAAAAATGCTTTAACTTTTTTGTTTCTATACATTACTTAATAAAATAAAAAGCATTTGGAAGCACACAAAATGGACAAAAGGAGCATTATAAAATTCATTAAAATTTAGTCATTTATTAATTTAAGTTAATTAATTAATTACAAATAATTAATTATAATATGCCATAATGTCTTTAAATGTTTTTACACATGCCTCAATGAATAAGACATTTGAAAGCACACAAGAACAAAAGCAGTGGCATATGTAGGGTGTTCTGACCCTCACCCCCACCCCTGACCACACCCAAACCCCACCCAACCCCCTTTCCTACCCTCCATTGAAAATAATTTTTTTCTCTCTTTCTTATGGTCGTCCTACTTATTTCATCAAAATATGATTACACATATTGCATATTAGGTTTCGATGTTCAGATTATCTGAATATTACACCCAGTTACAATAAACAGGTTTTAGAACAAAATAAACTTAACTTTAAAGTTTAGTGTTTTTGACAACTTAACAAACTTTCAGCAATAAATTCACTTACTTCCCGAAGTCGGAAAAAACTGATTTGATGACTAGGTGAAAGAGGAACATGTGAACTATGTCATTACTATTTTCGGGTCACAGGGAAAAAATAAATACAACCTCTGCAGCAAAAACAATAGAGGGCGGTTGCAACAGTCGAGTCGCTGGCAAAAATTATAGTGGTGCGCAATATCGTGCTCGCAATGGCCGATAGTAACGTACCTACCATACTTACTATAGTTTTTGGATCTTTGAAAACTTGAAGCAGATGCATTCGTACGATACCATTTTTTACCACATATAGTATTACTACTTTTAGCTACCATATACTGCTAGTACTACTAGTTGTATATTATGCAGCCGTCAGTTGTATGACGCACAAATACAACCCTCGGGGAGGGTTCGTCACTTGTTGAATGTGAGTCCTACAATGTAATACAGTATATCATCATGATATATCATTTATTTCCCCAAATGAAAAAACAGTAGGATCTATGTGGCAGAATTGCCCACATTTAAGAAGACTTACCATCTAGGGGCTCTCCTCGTAGCTCAACAACAAACTAAAATATTATACAGAACTGCTTAAATAACAAAAATATAAAAGATTCAAACAGTAAAAAGCTATAAATATACATCAAGTAACAATTAAAACTGCTAAAAAGGCTACAAAATCGTTGAACAAAACAGGAAACTGTAAAAACATCAATCATTTTTATTAAAATAGGCAGCAAACAAATCAGTTACAGAGGTAAAAAGACTTAAGTTTAGTTACAAAAAAAGACTAAAAGCAGTTAATTACAAAGATCAGCAGGGAGATTGCACCATACCCTAGGGAAATAATTAAACAAAGAAAATTTAAATGCATTTGTCCTAGCAAAGGCATGTTTAAAGAGTAAGCTCTCGGGATGACAACCGTTAATAAATATGAATTTTAAAATATTAACGTTAAAATTACCATATGATAAAAACATTTTAAGATAAAATATATTGCAAACGATTTTCAATTGACATTATGTTAAGCTTATCAAGTCTGCGTATAACTTAGGTTGGATTGATAATGAAAGCATGACTTCGTGAATTTTTTTTTAACATGTTCTAATGCCTGCAAATGACCCATTTGGAATGCCATAAAAGCAGGCACACCAAACTAACTAACTAATGCACTAAAAAACTTAATAAACATTACTGTCTGTACAAGAAAAAAATTGTCTAATGAAGCCACACATTTTGGAGGCTTTAGATGTATATAGCATTCTCAACCTGCTCATCCTATTCTAATTTACTATAGATTACACCAAGATATTTTATGGATGATACACTAGGTAACGCAATATTTTCTAAGAAATATTCAGGCAAATTTTCTCTGAAGATCTGCTTGCATTCATGACCATGCATTTATTTACGTTAAGTTATTGCACCAAGAACAGACATGGTCAGTCACATATGCTATATCAGCTATTTTTTCACAACCAAATATATATACAGATTCCCTACATGTAGTTTGTTTGTATTGTAATATCATTTATATCATGCTAATTAGTTTTTAAAAATGTAGTCATTTTGTAAATCAGCCGCTTGAGGGCATAATTTGTTTACATCGCCATTTTGTAATGTGACGGACATAGACGCACTGATTTTTCACAGTGTGACTGACCAAAATGTTTTTTTTACGGTACCCTGCATCAAAATTTCAAGGTAAATGGCCCAACAATGACGCACTTTTCCCAGGGGTCGTATAGTGCATCATACAACTGACAGCTGCATTAGTATTACTGTACTGTACTTACAATAATACTATAGTTTTTAGGTCTTTGAAAACTTCAAGCAGATGTATTAATACAATTACAATATCATTTTTTTAAAATTACCGTACAGTACTACTACTGTACTGTACTTTTAACTACCATATTTTTAACTACCATATACTACTCTTAGCTGCCATTTACTAATTTTAACTACGTTTAATAATACCATACTACTTTTAACTACCATATACTTCTTTTAAACTACCGTATTATACTACTTTTAACTACTATATTTCTTTAAAATGGTGATCTCACATTATAGGCCAGATTAGGATTTGAAGAGAAAGGAATAGGATATCGGAAACAGCTTGTTAACATACATGTAGGGGAGCAGACTGAGCCATGGTTTATTCGGTTGAATCCACATGGAGAAGTTCCAGTTATGGAGCACAACAAACGAATCATCATCGATTCGGAGGCAATTTTGGATTACTTGGACCAAATAGTCCCTGAAGGTTGGTAGTGTACATTATATAACTAGTTTGGGGATTTTTTTTGTTCCTGAATGTAAATCATACATTTTTGTACGTTTGTGAACATTATGTAAATTAATGTTGTTTAATGTGTAAAGAGGTATACAGATTAAGATTTCATTGGTAATTGTTGAAATTTCAATACAATACAATGGGAAATAGAAGAGTGCTTGGTATTGATATTCGTCTACCAAGAACATTGGTTGTTAAGGCCAAATATAATAAATTGTTAATTTAACATACCCTGCCTCATCAAACTTTTTAGCCCATAAAAATATTTACTATTTGCTATTTTTAAATACAGTAAAACAATAATTTTCCATGGAAAATAAAAAAATACATGACAATCTGAAAGATTGTGTTGGAGTCTAAAAGAGGTGGAAATATAAATGGCAGAAGGTTTCAAAGATATATTTTACTGCTTTTATGAAAAAAATATTTATTACTATTTACCAGCCTGTTTACAACTTAATATATATAGAATATTAAATAGCAAAATGGTAAATACCCTCACCAAAAAGTGAGTTATAATTCTGGACATGAAACTAACAATTAGCAACAATATTTAGCATAATGTTTTTGTACAGATGAATTAAATCACGTGTATGATTCTCATTTTCCAGCCCCTCGATTCACCCCTGACCCCTCTACTGATGAGGGTGCTAAAGTCAAACACTTCAAGATTCTATTCAAGTCTGTGATGATTGAACTGATTACATTTGGTACCATGCTACATCCAGAAATTGAAAGTGGGAAAAAGTTGTTGACATCAGCGCAAGTACAAAGTAAATATGTTTTTATAATTGGCATATTTTGGAATTTAATAATAAATAATAATTATTAATGATGATGACGTCAACGAAGTACGACAACGATGATGACAATAATGATTAAAACAGTAAATAACTAGCTCTAGTGGGAACATTTCTGACTATAGCTTTTCCTAGTGGGTTCCTATTATATTTTAGTTCTTAGATTCCTACATTTTTTTGCAGCCAAGTTTGGTATAGCAGTGAAAAGAATGCAGAAATATGCAGCTAAAAGCCCTGAAATGAGAGGAATCTATGAGGGAAAAATTGCCAGGACACAAACCAGGCTTAGTAAAATGCTTGATCTTGAGACCTGCATGAACAGTATACATCACTTAGAGGAGGTATTAGTTGAGGTCGAAGAGGAGCTAAGCAAGGTCAGCTTTCAAGGTTAGTACAACTTGAAAAGCCAACAATTTTGCTTAGTGCTTATACCACCTCCATGCTTATACTTCCTTCTTATAATAATAATAATAATGATAATGTTATTGTAAGAGAGAAGATTAAAGTTGTTTTTAAGCTGGGAACTCTTTGCGTCGTAGGACGGTCGTAGACCATCAGTTGACGAATCAAACACCGTCTGCTGATTGTCGGTGGGGAGTCTGAATGGATCTTCATAAAAAAACCGATGCATTGCGCGTATGTTGTAGCATTGCATTCTTTATAGATTTGTGTCGGCCGACTACCGTTGGTGCAGTGGGTATTTGGCTTTACACATACAGTAATTGTTTCACTATTTCTATCTGTTTATATTAACATTACATATGTAACATATATAGATCTATGCACAAATTATGACATATATTAACTGGTTTAATAGAATAAAACACCTAAGGATTTGAGAGGTATGTTGCAAAATTAAATTAAATCCCCTATAAGTGCAGCCCGCCGATAATCTTTTGCTAAAAAGTCCCTTGTTTTTTACACCAATCAATCTGTAAAAATTAATTTATTAAAACTGAGCATAAAACGTTATAAAAGCAGGGCATAAAGGTTTTTGGAAGCGCAATAGGAACATCAAGGTTAGGGTGCGGCCCTCAGAACTGTTTTTGTGCCCAACCATGTTATGTTGTATACCATTTTTTTGTTTGTTTATTATTGCAGAGTCAACTGGAGAGGCTCCTTGGTTGTGCTCAAGAAATTTTACAATAGCTGATATTTACCTGTCCACCATCCTCCATCGTCTTGTTGCTGTCGGTTTAGACCAAAGGTATTTCAGCGGGAGAAAGCGACCGCACTTAGAGGCCTACTACCAAAGAGTTTTGAAGCGACGTTCATTCCGTCGCGCATGTGGAAGCTCTAATTCAAAATTCTGGAGTTGGGTTTATCCATATTTTGTTTTCAAATTTAAGCATTCCGTACCAAGTCTTGTAGGTATTGGCATCTTAGGCTTAGCTGTTTTTGCTGCCTACAGGTACACTGACAAATTTCAAATGATCAGGGATAAATTTTAAGCAGTATGTGTACCAGTTTTCAAAATATTTTCTTGGCTTTAAAAATCATTTATCTGTAATTCAACATTTTGACATTTAATTCAAATGAAATTCAGTACTAAATTTTACAAATTATTTATTTTTAATATTCCAATCAAGCAGTTTAATTAAAACCCACCGTGTATGCAATAAACAATAATTTCTAATTGTGCTATTTAATATTACTATTAGGCCATATGAAAAGAAAAACATGTTTACTCTGTTCATTTCTTTTTAAATAAGATGAGGGACCTTTTTTAATTATTTTTTTTACAAAATATTACAACACACACAGCTTTGCATTGTGGTCTGTTTTACCAGTCCTACAGTATCCTCACAGATAAGTTGATTACTTACAGGTCTTTGTAGGTTTTTTGTGGAAAGATGACATGGCCTGAAAATGCAGAAGAGGATGAGAAGCATGTTTTTTTGGGTTTTTTTGGACTTAAGTTTTGTCTACAATATCAAGTTTTTTGTGTGATTTGCACATATATGGTTATGATGATGTCATCATGCCCATATATATGGTAAATCACAGATTCCATAAAACATGATGCAAACATTATCATAGTATAAATGGTGGTTTGGGTGTTCTAACTGGTCTTTCAAAACAGATTTTATTTTTAATTTGTGAAATTATGATAATATAGGGTGGTGATTTGATATAGTAGTTTCTTTTGATATAATGGTGTTATGTTAAAATTTTTTTTATTAATTTAAATTTTTTACTCAATATATTTTTCTTCTTTAAGCAGCTTACCATTGTCTTTATTAACCAAGCTTCCTCTGTTCTATGTATTCAGAGCAATATTCAGCATTACTAGTGGGGGTGTGCAAAGGTGGATGAGCTGGTCAAGCCCCCTCCCCCATCAGACAGAGCTCATCGGCCAGTCGGACTAAAAAAAAATTTTAAAATACGCCCACGCCAAGCCAACACATGCCTGTCACAGAAAATTTCATTTCTGGCAAACCAGAGGTTCCTCTCCTTTAAAAAATCTCATTTGGGGGTGGGGGGTAACACCCTCTAAAACCCTTCCCCCAGCTTGGCCCTACGAGCTCAAGTCCCCCCTGTCTGACAGCTCAGCCCCCGGAAAATATACCCTAGAGCCGCCACTGGCCTAGTATTATTCCAGACTGAGGAGGAACGGATTCCCCAAATCTTTCCTTGTGCTAACTACAACCTATAATTCTTTAATCATGATTTGGAGTTGTATGACATCATATCCACTTCCTTTGCCTCTATCAGTCTTTCCTATACTAAGTTATTTGTTTCTTCATTCAAATCTGCTCAACAACAGGTGCCCTTTTAATCGCATTCATTACTCTAGTGTTCTCTTTCTATTTTCAATATAGCACAACACATCACACTTGTCATATTTAAGTGAACTTATTATTGTAGCAAAGTATGATCGTCGACATTATGATTAATTTCTAAACTTTACAGTTTTGGTGTGGAAGATTTTTTGAAGATATAGTGTATTATCAAAATAATTTTTCAAAATTATTTCAATTGTATTTTTTGGCACTAATGTAAGCAATTATATAGTATTTGAATTAATAAATTTTACAATAATGGCTGAATCTACCTCAAAGGGACAAATATTAAATGCTATAATTTTTTAACTGAAATTGTGTGACTAACATTTATAAAAATTAATATCTGCATTGTACACAGGATTTTGTATAAATTAATTAATTCTAAATTTTGGTGTCTTACATTTAAAGTTACAAAGCAAATTTGTAATACTCTTACTCTTGTGTTAAGAGCTACCTATAGTAATTTCACTTATCTCTACAAATTAGTTTGATGCAACTTAAATATAACACTATATTTTATGTTCAGGCTCTTTTAATCTGCTGTAGTTTGCAAACTTCTCTTAACTTCTTCACATAAATTTGTTGTGTAGCTTGTCCCTGGGTACACACTGCATTGCCGGCTGACGAATCTGTAAAATTTGTGTGCGACAAATATCTGTGTCTGTGGTGTGATTCGCTATACTCGCGTATGGCAATTCACGTAAATTTACACTAGACACGATAATGACATGACAACGATATATCATCGCATAGTTTGTATTCTTCAACATTGTGCGCATCTGTATCCTGTCGTAATCATGTCTAGTGTAAATGTAGCTTAAGACGACCTCCGAGTTTGAGAAGATTTTTTTATAATTTTTGTATGTCGGGTATTTAAATGACCTCTCTTGTCATCATCGGTATTCCTAATTTGTTCTGCTTTTTATGGTTTTGATACTGCATCTAGCTGTCTAAAATCACAGCCAAAATGTAGGGCCAATCTTCCAAATAATACCATATTATGGGCTTTAATATGAAGATCTTATTTCCCCACTTTTAAAATTGCGTTCATTCATTCAGTTAGTAGCTTCATTACAGTAGTAGCCCCGTGTTACAGAGAACCCGCACATAAGTGGAACATGTCAATTAAAAAATCTAACACTTGTGTTGCGTGTATAAGATCCCACCTCCCCCCGTTTTTTGATATTTTAACCCTGGCCTTATGCACAACTATATACTGTGGTGTCATATCGCACCCATACATGGAAAGTCGCTTTTGTAACATATAGACTTGATAGTGTGGGAATGTGGGAAGAGCCTTCTAGTTAACAAATACCTTTTGTGGGTGTGTGAGGATCAGTGGTAGCACTAGTGGCGGCTGTGGCGTAGCAGCTATGAACTCTCGCAGAATAAATTCAGGGCCCAGAGATAATCAGCAGTAATTTTGTTTTGCCTCAAATCAGTCTTTATAAGTAGTGGAATGTGTAAAATCATCAAATACACCTTTTAAAACGTCAAAAGTGCCAAAGCGGGCGAGGCTTTCAAGTGTACTCCACTGGGATCTACACAGACGCGGAACCCCCCCTTTATCGAGTCTATACAGTCTAGTTATGTATGTTGGTTTAGGCCCTAGTTCTAAAACCTAATATGTATTTCATTATATTGGTGACCACTGCTTCTGTTACATTGTCATATTATATTTTTCATTTGATTATGAGAAAATTAGTAATAATTTTCATATTCAGTTTGTGTACATTTATAGTTATAATTGTCCTATAGCTCTGATTGTTTATTGTGAGAGTCTAAACTAAATATTCTATATAATTACCAAGCTATATAAATATATATTAATAATAAAACATTTTCTACAGTCAGTTTCTGTTACTAGATGATATATCTTGTATTGACCTTTCTCTTGGTATTGGCATAAACAGAAATAATTATTTTATAATACAATATATTATATATATATAAATATATGAATTAATTTTGTGATTTTAAGATATTAATTATGCAAAATAACTTAGTTTAAATGACTGCTGTAAACTTTGATTTGCATTTGTGAATAATCAAGGTCGAGAGAATATTTTATACCATTACCTCCATGTTAAATATAAACAGTACTGTTAATAAATATGACAAGAAAATTCAAAATTTGAATTGTTATCTTTGTATATTAGCTTAAAAGAAAATATTATCACCAAGTAACAGATGCTCTTGCATAAACCATTTAAAATTGACTGGTAGTAATTATAAAGATTTGCGTAATAAAAATTCTATGAATCATTGAGAACTGAATTATTTCGATCATTGTCTCATTAGAAGTTGGGTTTATTCATGAGTGTTTCGCCAGCGCATTATAAGATTTCATTAGTATTATTGTAAGAAAGAACATTGGAATTGAAAACCAAATTTTACTACGAGGAAGGCCATTATGGAAGGGGGACGTCCATCAACATCATGAAATGTATGGTGCAACTCGTTTGGCACTATGCCAAGATCTTGTGAAGGCAACAGCAGCACAACTTTGCGCCACCTGATCAAGAGAGAAGGAAGTTGATCACTTATTTATATAACTTATAATTTTAGATCAGCAATTCAAATAGTGGCAGGAATTGGGAAAGATAAAAGGGGGCTTAAGCCTCTGTCAGACAGGCCAAGCTTGTGTTGCCACAGTTTTTGGGACCAAAAAAGAAGTAAATCTTTTCTATTTGACCTAGGCCACAAAATGATGAATAAAGTGATAATCATTGCACCAGGGCTTCGTCTGCCCCTAGACACCACTGTTCTTTCTTGAAAATTGTCAGAACCTTGTTAGACCCCCTCGACTGTAAATCCTAGACTAGCGGCAATATTGAATTTAATGTTTTAATTCTTGTCCGAGTACTGATGGCCCCAAAATTCAGGGGTCCAACAAGTTCAACCGCTGGTCTGATCCCCAAGGGTCCCAGGAGCAAGAGTTGATGATTTAGGATGACCCAAAATATTGTGCTCTATCAGGAACCATGGACCTATTAATAAGTCCATGCAGGAACTACAATCACAACTTTGTATCAGTTTTTTTAGTTTCACAATCTCCTGGTATCAGATTTTCCAAATTTTGCTTCCAATAGTATAAATCACAAGCAGTGATATTGCATTCCACATGTGCAATAACTAAGCGCGCTTTATCCTGCAATGAAAAGCATCTGTCCGACTTCATTGGACAAGAAGATACAAAGCAGTGAAGCTGTAGCTTGGGTGTTAAAATCCTCCCCGGCTTTATGGACCTGGGTTCATATCCTGTCAATAAACAGTTTCGCTGCCTAAATCGCCTTTAAATTTTTGAAAATTAAAAAATAAATGAAACAAAAAAAATGAGTACCATTTCTGGCAATGTAGAGATGCCATTGACATTAAATGTTATACCTTTCCCCCTTCCATTGTGGGCCTGATGTTGTGTGGATCCTCCATCTTTAAAAAGTCTTCCCTGGGATTCTGAATCTGCTACTGTACATCTAAAATAAGCTACTGTAAGATTGTCACAACTATAAATAAGCAATCGTCTACTACACTTAAAAGGCCCACTTCCATTTATATTTGAAAATGTAATTGTGAATTATACAATACAGTAACAAAATGTATGATGCTTGTAAAAAACAAATATGTTTATTCAAGAAAAGTAACAATGGATAATCTAAACTAGAATATAAAACATACTCTATAGAACTATACTAAATAATGTAAACTAAGATTTTCCAAAACAATAGATAAGCAATCATCTACTACACTTTAAAGGTCCAGGCCCATTTATATTTGAAAATGTAATTGTGGATTGTAACAGTACAGTAATGAAATGTATGTCATTAATACAAAGTAAAAAACATGTTTATCCATGAAAAGTAACTATGGATATTCTAAACTAATATAAAAAACATACTGTATAGAAATATACCAAATAATGTAATTGGTAATTTCCACTTGCTACGATCCATGGCCTACCTATTACCGATATTTCAACCCTCACTGTTGTTTTGATAATTACTGTATTACTCTTAATAATGTTTTTCCATTGTACTTTGCAGGGATGGTGGTTGAAAAGCTATTGTAAGCGATACAACATACACATGTTAACATTTTTACCTATGCTCCATTTTGACCATTTTTGCAAAGGCCTGGATATCAGGGTCGTACAGTTTTATCCGTCACTTCATTGTTACTCTAGCAATTCTATTTTTTAATATTAGTAAGATAGTAAACAATTATCACACACAGTATTGTTGTCCTTAAAATAATGTGTTACTATAATTTTGTGTATTGGTGACAAACAGGTTGAAAAAACAAGCCTAGAGAACACTGATTTCCACACACAATTGATAATAGAATAGACTTTGCAGACGGCAACTATTGCTTGGCCTCCTTCTTGGTCTTCATCTGAAGATAGAAATCCAAAGAACATTATTTCATTTCATTTGTCTCAAATGCAGAGAAACAAGATACGGTAACAAGTAAAGCTGCAATAGCACTGGACTTAAGAAAGCGGGAGCCCTTCGGACTGGGGGATCTGGGGCTTCATCACCCGAGAGCCTGTAGGCGTTACGCCACTGTACTGTAGTGTAAATGTTGCTTACCTTATTCATAACAATTGCTTGTCTCTTTCTCAACTGTGCCAAGTAGTCCTCTTCAGGATTTGATGAAGGAACAATTTCTGCTTCTCGGTCAATTATTTCCGAGAAGAATCTCGGCTCGCGCCCAAACATCAGCAGGTAAGGGGAAACTTTTGTGGATTCACGAAAACTAATGCGCAATGCCCAGAGTCCTTTGTCCAAGTGTTCATCCCAGTTATTCTGTTCTTTATTGGCAAACTGAATAATAAACGAAAAACTGAATTAACATTTAGTACATGGGGTTTGCCATGCCAAAACCAGCATCTGTGACCCAAACAAGAAAATTGACTGTTTAATATTCTTATTCTCCATATTGTAAGCTTTAAAATGATGGGTCACTTACTAGAATCAACTTACTATTGTCAAAGTTATGAGTAAAATTATTATGGCTTCTCTGTTCTAAAGTACACAATAAAATACTGCCATTCTTATAATACTTAGTTTAACATTTAGCCACAATTTTGGTTTTTGTATGGCAAGTCTCATGTAATTATATACAAGAATTCTACCAGTTGCAACAGAGAAACTGGATATGGCACATTTTAAGGCATGGGAGCACCAATCTCTCTAAAGCAATTTATCTTCAAAACAATAAAATAGAAGCTAGGACAAAATTGAAAAATCGTTTTTAAAACAGGTAGTTGATCATCGTCTGATCTCCATTAGAGATAAAAACCATGTTGTATGACAGTATCACTAGAGAACCTTTAATTTGCATTAAGGTTATGTGCCCTAAATTGGACTGTGGTGCAGCAATTTCAATTTCATTTATTGCTTCAAAAGTCATCATGGGCCAATATCCGCTAATAACAATCTCAAGTTCACAATATACTAAATTCACAAAAAGAAGAATATATAAAATATTGTAAAAACAACAAAAAATTTAAGGTCGAGGAGCTGTTTGATAGTGGAGGAGCCAATCTGAGAAGGTTCAAGAGAAATAGAATATGCAAGGTTCAAGGAGTACGGAAGGAAAGATGATGCAAAACGAGAAGTTTGATATGTGATAGGTAGGAATGCAGCGTCCTTAGAGTAGTGAAGAGATGTAGAGCAATGGAAATGAAGGGTTAAAAGAATGAGTTTCCATTTGGACAATTTTTCCAAGGTTGCTGAGAAAGTACTTGAATCGGATTTCAAATTGAAGGATGTTGTTTCCTTAAAAGGCTAGGTGGAATGCACAGCGTTTTCTGAAAGAAGTTTGCAAAAAATGATTGATTTCCTAGCAAATACAGTACATTTGAATTTTTAAAATGCTGATAAATATCCAGGGGCCCTTTAAGGTCTGGGCCCCTGGCTGTAGCTGGTGAGAGCTGCTTGTTCTTACTCTGCTGAGTGAAATATATGGCAAAAGGAAAGAAGTGCATGTTGTAACCAATCAATGGATTTTGGAAAATCTCACCTCTCTGGGTTTTCTTGCTTATCCTAATATAATATAATATTTGTCACCCAAGCTCACAAACAGGCTGTAAACTCGTCCTCAAGCCAAAATGAGTTTTTGTTATAATGGCATAGAACATATAATTTACTTTAAAATGACAGTTAAATGAACTCAATCGGGTGTCTGGATGCAAAGTTATGAACGTTTGAATAATTGTCATCTTCTCAACTTTCTTAAATCAAGATTTGAGAAAAATGCTTCTATTTTTGGCAATTTCCTATTCATTTTAACTAACTCCCATTTGAAAATGGCAAAATTTTGCCTTTTACAGTTTGAATTTTAAACTCAAACTTCAGGAATAGTAAGATTAATAATTATACTTTATTTATTACACAAAAACCCAATTCACACGAAATTCATATTTTATGGCATGTTCTGGCTATTGAGGCTTGTTTCTCAATACAGTGCTGTGCGAGTTTACAGCCTGTTTGTGAGCTTGAGTCACATTTATTTGACATGACACAACAACAACAACTTAAAACAAACCAATGAAAGAATTTAACTGAAGAAAATACAATTTTGATAAATCATAAACATCTCTCACCCTCCCTAAACAAATAATGTACTGTACATATACACATAAACATGCATACAGTATACGTACACCCCCATCCCCCAACACACAAATATATAGAGCGTTACAAAAGTATATAAAAGAAATCAAATTTAAAACATAAGAAAAAAAATTACTAAAGCAACAATGCATTTAACATGTTTTTAAATCCGATCTTCTATCCCAAGCTTTTTTAGCAAAGGTTTTACAATATCTGTCAAATGCAGATTGAACATCATCATTAAAAACATTATTCCCCCCCTCACCCCCAAGAACAAAATGAATCTTATCATCAATATTAGATTCGAAAAAATTATTCCAAGTTGCATTCTCATCGAAAAGTTCAAGGTCTTGTTTTAAGATAGCTAATTCTGCCTTTCTAATTGTATCAAATGATTTACAAATATTTTTGCCACTTTGGCACAAGGTACACTGATCAGTAATTTCTTGAGACCATTTGCAGGTCTTGCCATCAAGAGGTAATGTGTTGGACCTTAACTTAAATTTTAGACTTTCCCCCATAAAGTAAGTTTTATCGAGCAGATATTTTTCGAGGCTTGGTGTAGACTTCAATTTTGAGTAATTTTTAAGAGGTTTTTTGGTTAATTTGGTTTTCCCACTCAACATGTGCATTTACAGTTCTAACAGAAAAAGAATTAAA